AGGGAAAGCACCATGTTTATATGAATCCCTAGAATATACTAAAGTCTTTCCTGCTAATCTTCTTCCTCTCCCTAATTATAGGACTAGAGGAAAAGAACACTTTTGGTTGGTGAGAACAGAGTTGTCAACCTAGGCTACAATATAATAAAGGTGATCTGCTCTCACATTTATTTGGTCAACATCAGCTAAACTGAAGACGACCAAAGGACCCAGTTAAATTTCAGGATCTCGACATTCACCCAGCTTACTACACACAGATTCAGTAGAACATGGACTTTATTACAAAGATTCAAAAATGCATGGTACAAGACACAGCAAATTAATGTTAATTAAGAAATTCTCTTGTTATAACAAATGACACATTGCAAGCATTCTGCTTACTTGCTCTATAAAAACAGGAGTTCCCCCAAACACTCTTTAAATACAGTTTAAGAAAAGGTGCTGCAAAAGTCAGGAAAGCATTTGGAATGCTACCAAGATGAATGAAGCAACGAATTTACACTTGGTGTACATTTATCCCATTACTGTTCATGAAAACTAAGCGTCTTGAAAACACATGCTGAAGTAAAACAGTTTGCAAACACCTTTTTCATAAGCTTTTACATTCTTATTTTTAAAATGTTCAGAGTGCCTTAGTAGGATTAAAAACCAACCAACTAAAGGGCACATATGAGCACAAACGCACAATGAACAGTCGGGCTATCCACCCTGGGTTCAAAACACCCATGCACATTAATGTATTAGCCAGAATTAGGAACAGAAAAACCACACAAAAACCATCACCCTGCCATATAATGACAGAGGTTTTTTTTCCCAAAGAGCTATCCTTACCATAATCCCTCAGAAGGGCTTGTGCTGGTCGCTCACTATCTGGTGTGGTGGGCTCCGTACTGCCTCCACTTGCAGTGCTAATGCCACTGTTAGTACGACTGTGGCTTTTGAAGAGGTTATTTTCACCACCATTCTGCAAATTGAAAGTCAGTTTTGAGCAATGAGAAGACTTTTCTGAGTAGAGTTCCCTATATCACAGGATGCTCTCGGATACAATGGAGAGAAAAGATGATCAAACCTCAAGACGCTAACTGAGCACCTTGCGACAGCAGATAAAATGAGTAAAGCATTCTTTCTGAAGTGGTAACTTCATAAACAAAAAACACTTACCGTTTCCATCTGACAGCCAATGGCTTCTAACAGTGCTGAATCTTGAACAATATTTAACATTGCACCTGAAGAATCAGATATAAGAAGGTAACTAAAGACCGCAGTAGAATATTCACTGCTAAAATTTACAAAGAAGCACTGAAGGTCTAACATAGAGGATCACCATCCTGTTTTATAAAAATTCTTATACAGAGTTTTATAAAACACAGGATTTGCTTCAGGCTTAGCCATCTGAAGCAGATGAGAGCTGAGATAGAGCGCTCTCAGCTATTTTAAAAATGCTTTGAACGTAGGTTTTTCAAATTCCTCAGTTCAGTTTTGGTTTCACAGAAGGGCTGGAATCGTTCCTCGTCTCCCATCAGATTGTGCTCATTTTAAAACTCAGGTTACATTTAAGGATATCTACTGATTCTGTGAATAAAATAACAATATTTGTTAGATAACAGAGCACGCTAAAATGAGCTGTGTAGTCCAAAGCCACCTCAAGGGTTACACAGTGCTGGCCTTGGCCATGTTCTTGCCTGGCACAAAGAGGCCCCCATCCCCAGTTTGGCCATTGGGAGCCAAAAGGCAGCTGGTGACTGGCAAACAAAAACATGTTTTCAAGTCTTAATGAGCTAGCAGCACAGACAGCAACCTGCTGGAAGATAGAGTGAATAATGCCCGGTCCATTCAGCAACCCTTAAGACATGAGCGCAAGGGACCACGCTGGTTCTCATACTGACCTGCGACCAGTGAAATGAACCCCCAAACCACCATAACACAAGGAGTTTTATTTTTATAAAGACATTTCTGCCCCTGCCCCACAAAACAATCTGAGGTGGGATACATCCCCAGCCTCTCACCTTCTCTGCTTTGTTTTCCATCAGTGCACAAAATATTGTATTGAAAAAGCTGAAGCTCTTAAGTGCAGGGGCAGCCAACCCTACTGCATCCAAACTAGCCAGCAGGTAGTTACCTCTTCTGTCTTGGGAGAGAGAACTACATACAAGTCTAATACTTTTAAAATTAAAATTGCTGATGCATTCAGGGTGCCTTAGGTCAACTAGTGTGAACAGCCTCTATCTGCTTGGCAGCATCACCCCCAGGCGACGAGGCAAGGAGCAGTAAGGACACAGACCTGTCACAGGCTGACACTGACACACTCAGTGGCATCAATTTTAATTTTCTGCCCCGCCCCCAGCAATAAGTGTTTAGGGAAACACCGTTTGCTATATGAAGGGAAATGCACCGCTCACTGTCAAAAATCTAGTGAGCAGCTGGAAACAAACACCAGTTTTGTTGAGAAGCTGTGGCACGTGCGAGAATGCCTGGCTAAACTAGAGATTCACGAATCCTCTCCAACCAAAGCCATCAGGAAATAACTTTGCATACAGAAACACGAGTTTAACAACAGGAATACAGGGGAGATGGACTGGTACGGACTATCACGGAAACAGTAATGGAAACCATTGGAGGCAGAGCATCTATCCAGCGGGATGCAAACACCAACTCGCAGCAGAGGCGTACAGGAGCACGTGGGTGGGATTTAACAGGGCATCACCCCACGGTTCCCAAGGTGGTGCAGCCCCTGTGCACCGATGCTCTGTGGCTCTCAGCTGGAAATCGCTTTGAAACCATAAATATCCTCATCCCTTCACCAGCAGTGGTTGCAAATCATTCTTTCAAATCATTCTCCTCTAGTCTTCCAACAGTAAAGAACTATCTCAACCACTGCAAGGAAACTTTCTGGAAGTCTTTGCAGACTGGATTCGTTTCCCTTCACTTCACTGCTCATGCCATTTTCTTTCCCTCCCCTATTCATCAGGTAGGCAGATGCCTCCCACCGCAGCACAAGTCTGTTCCCTTTTTAAACAGCCAAAAGAAAGTGGTACTGTAATTACTGAAGGACAAGAGCACCATAATGTGGGAAAAGGCACTTCTAAATAAAGAGAGAAAAATAAGGGAGGAGAGAACAAAAGGCAAGTACATTTTTTACTGGTCTGAAAACGTATTTAGCTTGATGGATTATGCACTATTCAAGTTTTCAGCTTCTACTTACTTTCTGAGCACTCAGAATAATGTTAATACGCTCATTACTGTTAGCTTGTTGCCAAACTACGATGCACCTCCAGACTCTATTCCAAAGCTTTTGCCTGAGAATTTACACAGTGCTAAACAAATCTCATCTGTATTCTGCCAGTGCCGGACCACCAGTCACCTAGCACTTCAATTTGTTTCTAGGCTCAATCATGCCAAAAACTAAAGTGTTCCCTGTAACCCGTTACTCAAGAATCCTTCCCAAAATTAAAACAACATTTTTTCCTATTTCCATTCCTAGTTATGACTGACTTTTCCTGCTACAATGTGCTTTAATTCTGCCTCTATTTTTCAAGTACTATTACACATTTGTAAAAAGAGAGAGATTAACAAAAATGTGAGGCTTTGCAAGAAGTTTTCATCATATGAGGGAGATTATACAGATGACAACCTGCCAGGAATTTCATCTTTTTTCTTGCAAAGCAACACATAACTAATAAACCATATAATTCCGGGACAGATTAAGACAGACACTTCTATAACACAGTTAATAAATAAAAAAGTTGAAATAACCTAGTATCATTTGAGTGTTGTTGGGATCTGTTTCTGTTTGCAAAGCTCCTATAAGGATATTCACAAGCCTCAGCTTCAAGGAAAGGAAGGTCACTGGCTTATCATATGTTGAGCTGTCATCATTGCTGAATTTCCCTTCCAGGACAACCTGAAGGAAAAATACATTTATTTCAGTATCAATTAGAGATCAGACCAGCATGGTATTGGTTTCAAAGGTCAATATCCACAGCACACATTGCTACTGACAACTTTTAATACAGTCTTACCGTTACACACTTGCTATAAGAGTTTCAGTGCTAAATATAGAACACCAAATAAAACCCGCAAGTCATCCAAATCCCACTCCAAAACAACCAGGAAAACAAAAATGGAAATGCAAAACAAAGTGCTAAGTTTACTACCTCAGACTTTATGGTTCCAAAGTGATGAGGGAGAGGCAACAGAGACAGCAAGATGTTAATTGAAGCTCTTCTTAGCTCTGTGGGGTTTACATAGATTTTAAACTTTGAGAGTTCTCTGCAAATCAAAGCATCATACAGTTAATCAACTTTTCACAGGAATTTGGAGCCAAATTTAATTAAGTTAAAATTAAACATACAGCCACCCAGTGGTCTTAAATAATTTGCAGTATACAACGTAGCTGTTTCTTTCTAGGCTTAGAATTTTTTTTTTTTTTTAAAGCAGCAGCAATAACACAATGGATTCACGCAGGAACCATCACTTGCTAAGGATTCCGTACCCCACATAAAAGCAATGAGCTGGTGAAAGATTATTCATATACTGCATCTTCAAAGCAGGCAGTTTCAGTCACGAGCCTCTGCTGGCTTATTACAACTCAAACCCACCCGGGATTATCAGAGACCCGCAGAATATGCTCATGCGCATATTGCGCAAAACACAAGCTGCTTAGCAAATAGATCAACTTCTGTCAGTAGCCATCAGCAAATTCTTCTACTTATAAAACCTATCCAAAAGGAGCTGTGGCCCAGTTAAGCCCAGAAGATAAATAATATTTTATGCATAACTTCAAAATGAAATGCAGTACCAAGACATAAGCTACATGTTGAAGAAGACATGCACAAAGTAGTATTAAGTGCCTTAAATTACTTCGCAAAACATCCAGAAATCTATAAAGCTCTGACAAGTGAGGTTATGTCCTCTGGTTTAAGAACCTACTCCAATTTCACCAGCCTAAATTATCAATTTTTCTATTTAATGATGTGTAAGGTTACTCTCTTAATGAATTCTCTGCAGCAACAGCCACTAATAAATATCCTGTGAAATTTTACTTAAGAATCAGTGGGCTTTCAATATATTTGAGCTAAATCACTCTTTTTCCCTATTCTTACAGATACCGCTTTCCAGTGAATATGTAGATAACACAACTCGCGTATTTCATTTAAAGTAAGCATTACCATTGCTTTAAAGAAAATTGCATTAAATAAAATTAAAAATTAGAGCTTATGAAGTGCTGCTGTTATCACTATCAAATACATACACAGCATGGTGCCCACATTACAGGATTCCTTCAGTGAAAACTACTCAGGAATGATAGAAGCCCCAGAAGATAAACACCTCCCCACATTTCTGATTCTATTTTTATGGAAATAGCAATTTACCTGTCAGGTAAAATAGTTTCAAGAGCCGAAATGAAATAAGGAACCACGACATCAATCCCTTTCAGGTCACAGCAGAACAAAGGAGGGGAGTTTAAAATAACACTGGCAAGAACGGGGTGGCAAACGAAATCCGCTATCTGCAAACCCTGAATTAAAAGCATGTAAAATCTGACAAAGAAAGATAAGATTAAATTATTTGCACATAAAAAGCATCAGCATCCCACATGAACAAGAATGTGCAGCCACTACTTGATCTTTTCTGTATAAAACAGAGTAAGCTGGAAAACCAGAGCTAGGAAATGTTTCCGTGAGCATTCCCCCAAGTTACTTTAGCACGGGCAAACACACCCAACCAGCTTAACAAAACCCCCTCAGAAATCACATGTATTCCATGTGAAAAGCCAGTGCAGCGGAGTTATTGCAGAGTCGGAGGTTTCAACACATGGACTGGGAACTGCAAGCAGCCCAACATCTACCAAAGCGCTTGGGTCACGCGCCCTCCCACGTAAGGATGGGGCGAGACCTTGATTTTAACTCCTCAACACAAGAAAAACACTGCAAAATCTTTTTTTGGGGGGAAAAGGACAGGACACACTGATCAGCACTTTGGAAAAATGAGACCAAACGTATCCATCGTAACCAGTTCAAATGACAAAGCAGGGGGGCAGGAACCTGGCTGGCCATCATCCTAAAGCACTTAGTTTCTTTTGCAGTTTCTTGTTAGAGAATACTTATATCTTCCCCCCTGCCCAATTTTTTTTTTTTTTTTTTTTAAAGGCTTGCAAACAGAGGAATCTCACTGACTGTGTAAAAGAAACACGGACTATCTATACGCAAAACACTGCAACATGCAAGAAATAAAATGGTTCAGTCTTCCAGGAAGTTTTGATGCCATGTGGGACAAATGTGCCTGAACAGTTTGGGAGAGTCATGATTTAAAGTTGATTCTCTGCCTCTAGCCTTTGCTATTTCACTTTTTAACAAAAATTTGGAAAAAAGGTACACTATGATAGGCAAGATTGCCTTATTTTATTAGAAACAAAACTAAAACAGAGGTAGTTCAGAACACAACTGTTTTAAATAATGGAATATTAGAGCATTTCTATATTTAAAGGAAAATAAACCACAAACACATTCCATCCCAGTGTTGTGGTGTTTGACAATGTACGACCCTTCACGGTCTAATAAAGTGTACAAGGTCTCATGTTTGCACACTTTTTTTTTTTTAATTTGTCAATGAACGTGCTCAGATAGAAAAACCAAGAATACAAAGGGCAAGCGAGTATCAAAAAGACAGTGTCCCTGCCAGCTGGGAGGCACTTCAAGGGACTGGAAGTTGAAGAAAATCCAATGAAAACCAGCATCACGACAAGACAAAAGGAAATCACCATTGGGTTTAGCCAGGGATCCCCACCTACAGCATCTGAAGGCTAACCAGGTTTTTTGATCTGGCAACACAGGATTCAGACAGTAACTGAATGCTATTCACTACGAATTAATTTGCAGCATAAAGTTATACCAATAAAGCAACTGGAAGATAGGTTAGTACCGGGATAGGTAAGCTGGTAATATTTCCTCCCCAGTCTTCTTGCTACAAAATATCCTACACAGTGTCCCGCATGCCTCTGCCCTTCCTGCTTCATAGTTGTCTGGGAATTCACTCGCATCGAACATGGGGTTGGAAGCCATTGTGTCTGTGGACATTTGCGATCCCTTCCGGCGAAACTCCATGCTAGCTTGAGTTGCTATAGCTGGGAAGAGAAAAAACAGAGTTTCACCGCTTTTGTTAACGTATGTAACAGGCTCATGGGATCCTGGACACAAAGATCAAGTCAAATTTAGTAGTCATCATGAAGCTGTTAGTTCACTATGTTTGAGTCAGTGCCTCTGTTTAGAAAGTATTTGTGGGTGGAACTAACTTTTTTCCTTTATAAGGATGACAACAACTGACCTTCATACTCTAGAGCCTGTCTCAACTTCCTGCTGGGAAGAGTCTGCTTATATCCGATATTAGCTTCCTACCCTCTCCGGAGGACAAGGATCTTCCCTCACTTAGTTCCCATCTCCAGAAAAATGAAGTACCACCTTGCCTCGCTGCCTTAAAATACCAAAATACGTTTAGACGGTGCCATTACTGTGACTTCCAAGCAAGCGCTTAATTTTCAACTGGCCAACTAATCTCTTACGCTGCTCTGAACACCAAGCTGCTTTGATCCAATTCTGTTGTATAAACATACTTATTAAAAATAATCCAAAAATTCTAAGGACCCATATCAGAAAGAGAAATTTGCTGAAACCCGCTCTCCTGAGTTGGTCCCTCTCTCCTCACACGAATACTGAAATTGCCAAACAAATCTGGGGACAGCCAGCCTCCACAGCAGCTACCAC